ACTTTATATTATTTAGAACAACTGTAACAACATATGAATGTCGCTGAGACGAAAAAGAGCAATTGAATCGATAATAAATCGCTTGTAATGCCAAAACAAACTAACACGGATATTATAGCAAGCGAGCGAGTTATGCAACACTCTGATGCAACTAAACTTGGAGTGAGAAGTAGTACGTGCAAGGCTGCAGATACACATGTAATGTTTAGTGTCTGCGGCCAATATTTGACCTACTAACTGCATTGTGCGACCTTTTATACCACCTGGCGTCACGATGTAGCGGTTGGGAAATTCTGAGCCTTTTCTTAGCTGTTTTTTTTAATCTTCTATCAATATTACTAAAAATATTATAGACGTCCTGCTATTATTCTAATATAAGATTTATAGCTCCTTCGTATCGTAATATGATACGCAAACTAAGGAATAACAATTTTATTGCTATTTTAAACATTTCTATAAGTCCAGTTCCAGCATTATTCTTATCTGTCAAAGTGAAAAATGTAACTTAGTTTCTTTTTGGTTTTGCAACTATATTGCCTTTTTTTACACGGTATCTATTTAATTATTGTGATACTATAAACAGCAGGCGTACAGTCACACAGAATACTTAAGTTTCAAATTTGAATAAGGTATTTGAAGACATGAATAAATATCCCATAATTAGGATAGAAATTATACCTCGCTCTAAACACGAACTTCGCATGTCTTCGTATATTCCATAAAATGAATACGAAATAGATATTCATTATGTTTGGTCGTGTAATATCTTTTGTACTGTGTTTGGTCAAATAAAATATTTGTGATCAAACAAATAGGAACCAGTTCCTTAGAGGTTTATTGACTCCTTAAAATATTTTCGTCGGATGACTCTGTCTCTAGTTTTGTAAAAATAACGTAGTAACTTGTCGTTGTTTAATTTTTTTTATATGAAATATATTAAAATAAAGATGCGAAATAGTTAATCATGGAATTTCTAACTCCTCTTATGTTATTAACTTAATTCATACCTATTTATATATTATTTTATTTTTATGTAGATAATTAAAGTTTAAAATTCATACAAACATATAAATAGAATAATATTCTTCAATCTGTAATATGCTGCTGATTATTCACTGTTCTCTTTAATGTTATCGTTTCCTATGCACAACTTAAGCAATAATTCTGCTTACAATTTTATTTCGTATTGCGAGGTCGTTTGTCGACAGTCATATTTATGTCGCACAAACAGGACTTATCTAAAAGTCTAGCATAAAAATTCAGCACTTGCCCAATAATTTATGTGTCGTGCGAGTGTGTTATAATGCGACGTACACCCGAGAGCAAATTATTAATGTCCGTAATTTGGCACGTTAGTAAATAATGATTTTATTCTTGCATAAATAACACGGCACCTGCCGCTGCCACTCTATGGCTTTACCGTATTGGCCAGTTAATTATTTTAACATAAAACCTTTAATTAGACCTACCAGCTGTCTTTCGACCTTGTAACGCACCTTTGTAATGCGACATGCAGTATTTTGCGTTGCAAAAAATGCACATTTTTATTCTCATTTCATGAGTAGTTTTTACGCAACAAAAAAATATGTCGATGTATAATCGAGTTGATCTCGAATTCTTTGCCGACCCATCCTATTGGTTGTCTATTTTGCATAATGCATATTTTATATTTATTACGTCTATTATATTTTTATATTTAACTATCAACATGTCAGTATTCTTATTAACTGTATAGTTATCAATTCGAAATTCTTCGATGATCGAAAATTAAAAGTTATTAATAGAAATATTCTTTTTAATATCCTTATTTTAACTGATTATAGTAATTTTCTTTCCACTAAAGGTATAAAGTACAGTACAACATTGCAAAAATAGAAAAGTAAAAATTAAACCCTACGTTAGTCGTCTCACCAGTGGACTCCCCTCTTATGGTGCAATGTTGCTTCTATCTAAAGGAAGAAAGTCACCAAAATCTTTAACGAGGAGCAGAGTACCAAAATCCTTAGAATTCAAATTGCATGAAAGAGTCACAAGTAGAGAATAAGTAAAAGTTACTATATACAATGTTTTGTTATGTCCAGAATGTTGTTTATATCTACAGGCGTTTAACATTTTCCATTAGATAGAGTGCTGTTTTCTATTCCTAATTGGGAAGGTTTTTTATAACGCTGTATAAAAAACGGTTTTCAAAACGTTTGTAAAATTGTTTCTTGTTGTTACTAAAAAGTAAAGAGTATAGCAAATTACATAAAACTAATGTTGAAGGAAAATGTGTTATGAGTCATTGGCTGTATAGACTAAAAAGAAATTCGATGTTTAAATATCGAAACTCTTTCCGATTGGATGTCGAGTTAAACGTTGGAATCATATCTGCATGTCATTATGTTCTAAATACTAATATATGTAAAATTTTAGTCATGGAAGCGTTTAGGCAGTTTTATTTAATAAACGCATTTATATTGACAAAAATAAACTTTCTTTTTAATATATAATAAAAAGAGTACTATGTAATCTTAAACTCTACAGGTTGGCTAGAAGAGATCGCTTTTAGTGATAAGGTCATCCATTATTTTCTCACTGTGATCATTTCTTGTAGTTGTTTGTATCAATAATAAGTTTACTATTGTATCTTTTAAAGGAAACAATAAAGAGTATCTATCTATCCATCTATCTATGCAGGGCTTGTACTATGGGAACTAGGCCTATGTTAGACTTATTAAAATAGTTTATTTTTCACAATAATCTAAAACCACGTACTCATAGGTATAAAAATTATTTGAATTGCCCGGAAACCATCCCCGTAACCATTAGAATGTGAGACTAATTATACCGCTACACTACCAAGGCCTATTTTGTATTTTTTGTGTTTCTTAGTAAGGCGTATATACATTCCTTCAGTTATATCCAATAGGCACTATTATAGTTAGTTATTAATATGCTACGAAGTTGGCCTTCGTAGCAGTGGTCTTGCAAGAACATTTCACGCTAAAGATCCAATGCTTAACAAGGACTGAATATTTACAGATAATTATGATAAAAACTGAACAATAACTCTATGTAATTCAGTAAAGATCTGTCAGAAGATTGCAAAATTGGTCCTTGCTCGAAACTATAAACTTAGTGCAGCAACCATAAACCACCTAGGCAATAAGATTAAACTAACACTATTCCATTTATTCGTGCACGTCAATGATTCCTATATAAGTATTTTATGAGCACCAGAAACCCTTAAAAAGAGAATAGGAACAATGTATAGTTGGTCTCCAGTTTATCACAATCAAATTACGCCACATCAAGTTACAAAATAGCTTGTCTCGACCATATTAAGTTACTAAAATAGCTGGTAGAGTTTAAATGGACTAACAAAGGAAGGACCCAACGTGCGAAGCATAACTTTATGAGCAAAAAAATATGGCGAGCTAGGGAGGTAGTGACCTATGATGACGCAATGCCAAAAACAGGCCACACTGCAGCGGGCAGAACCTCGCTGTCGAGGCAAGGGGTCAAGGAGGTTCATCGCAAAATATAATATTGCTCAATCGCACGTCCAGTATAATGTGCGAAACAAAATACCATGTTTCAGTGATTCATTGTAATCACTACGACGTAAAAGTTAACCTCATAGTCAATAATTAAAAGATACTGGCCGTTATCTCATTTCTGCTTCTGCAATTCAAATTTCGAATACATGTCATGGTTGCAATTTATTGCGTAATTAGTCATTAAAAAGAAAAAGGAAAAAGTGTTGATCCAAATTCAAAATTTCAAAATGTTACCCAATGTTTTATTGGAGTTCTGGCGGAAAAAATATTTGAAAACATAGCTACTTAGTGATGCAACTCAAAATATTTTAATGTATACACGTAAACGCCAAGTTTTTATTTAAGTAAATTCTTTGCGTTCGGTAATGACAAAATATTTTTGATGTGGATGTCGTCGAGGAGCGTTGTGGATTCGTGTCCGCGTCTATTTTGAACTCCCGATCGGGCGTTCGCCCGGTTGTTGAACTGGAATAATTCGGCAAACACAGGCACATTACGCGCTTGTTAATCTCGAGATATTACGATATGAGACGGAGCGTGTGCCGAACTGGCGATTATAAAATACCAATCTGGGCATTCATAATTGGGAGTATGCTGTACTATTTTTAAATGAATTTATACTTGATAATATTTTGTATTATTATTTTTTTATTTTGTGTTGATTACATAGTTTTGTGATAGTAATAATAAAAAAATTATTATTTTTTTTATAAAAAAGTTCTTGTGTTCAACTTTTTACATACTGTTATGTGTATTGTTAATGATTAATTAAATTATTAATTTCTTGCAACATTCGATTGCATTAACAATATAGACGAACATGTTTGTGTTTACGCGAAACTGGACGCAAACATGCGGAGATCTATGCATTAGTGTGCGTACCTACCTATACTTGTGTGTGAGTGTGCAGTAACTGTGTGTGTACATGGAAGCGCGCGATGAAATAAAATATGTCCGGTCAACGAACTCGCGGTCGGTGCCATAAAAATCGCGATACTGGCCGAAATTCCGGCGGAAAATTGAATATCATTGTCTTATCACTAATTTGATGGTAAATTATAGTTAAAATGTCAATACAAAATTGCTCAATATACTAGGTAGCAAAATTATTAAATTAGGTACATGCGGTCCGTAATTTCGGTGTCCGAATATGGCGCCCGGGGAATAGGAAGGATTACAGCTGTGCAACGAACTTTTAATATGCAGTGACGAGCTCCCGTGTCCGCCACGACGACAGCTGTCTGCATCGCTCTTTGTTTAACTCGATGGTCAACAGAATCACAAAAAGTGCCTTGACAATTAAAAAAAATACATGAGGATCAATGCTAATTTGAATACCAAAGTTTGTATGATATAACTTTTAACAGTCAATTTTTATTCTTAAAAGTTTTTAATTTATCGATCGTCATGCATGCAATAAAAAGTAACAATTTACATAAAAAAAGTAAGTATACTTACTAAATTCAAATTTGGAATCTGCTGTGTTCAATAAGCTGTTGTTTTTTCTTGTTGCAAATTGGCAATGTTCCTATAGGTGTACATTTCCGGATTGCACGCGGCACGCGAGTCAGCTGATTTCCATCCAATGACCTTGTGGGCATGTCCCCCTTCAATTTATTCATACTATTTACAGTTGCAATGAGTTGTTGTTGATCAGTCAAGTGAAGGATATCGTTTTAAGCCTTCTTTTCCTACAGGATGATGTTTCTTCTGGACGGGTGCCTGTCAATATTCTCCGCCTTCCGCAACACATCTTGTACCATTGAAGATGGGTGAGAATTAGTAGATTTCTGTTGGGTCCAGGCCGTTCATTTTGAAAGTTTCAATACTGGCCGGTAGGATCGAGTACTTTGACGTCCATTTTGTATAAGATTCTAATAGGTTATAATACAGACCAGTGGGATCCAGGCTGACAGCAGTCATAACGGTCAGTATTGACCAGTGGGGTCCAGGGTCAGGACGTCCATCTTGTTTTTAATCTAGTAGAGTCCAGTAGGATCCAGAGTGACGATATCCATGTTCATGCTAGCACAGATTATCACTAAAGTTCGTATATTCGTGCACTGAGTAGCGATGTGGGTGTTTTCGACACAGTGGACCGTTCTCGCGGATGCCGTGACGGGCAATGCGCTGGGCTGCGCCGACGCCGGTTTATATGATAAAAGTTTCGTCCGCGCTCGCCATCTGACGGCGAGCGGATGCCAACCGATTTTCAGAATAGGGTTGCATGACTAATAATGTCTTTGACTCCTGAAATTTTGTCGACTGTGTTCTTAGGGTTACATTTTTTATAATTTATGTAATGAAAATTGGCTTTTAGTCTGGCTATTGGTATTTCTTTATTTTCACATTTCAAATGGGATTAAAATGTTTTAAAGTACTAAAACTCTCAAAACTTTAACTCCAAAGTTAAAAGGGATTTTTCAAAATTGTAAAAAATAGTCATAGTCTATTAAAAATCCTATACAATGTTTAACAATGAAATACAGATATGAAAATTAACTACTTCTATACCTATCTAAATAAATGTTTCTAATGGAATATATTGAAATAGTTAAAGATAAAAAATTTCTTTGAGATCACTGCCAGTTGGTAGGGTACCTAGGAGACTTGCTGCATTTCCACGCTGAATAGCTATGAAAATGCGTTGACCAATGTATAGGCCAGCCTTCTGGTCGCCAGAGGTTTCTACCAGCCGGCGTTAAATCTCTTTAGTTGTTTTTTTTTTGATGGGTGAAAATGTAATGGTAAACCCGCCTGCGCTAACGGGATACGTTGGCGGAGCACCAGTGATAAGGGTGATAAATGAGAATGGAAACAGGCCAGTTAGCCCATCATGATGAATTCATCAGGATAACCCCGTGGAAACCATGATAGTTTCCACGGGGAACTACGAGGAGGTCGACCTGGTTGGGTATATTGCTAACAATGGGATTTTTAGTCTCCATTACTAACAATCCCTTTCCCCCCCCTTTGGTTGTTTTAGGTACAAATATAATTTTGGTATGACTTAATTAACTGCAGATATAAACTATACATTCCAGATATAATAATAATAAAATAAATAACAATCAACAAATTTAGAAATGTCTTTTTTTGAGCTCTATTTATGACAATAGACTATTCAAAAACGATAGAAAAAAAAAACTATGTTCAATACACTTCGTAACATTGTATACAAATCAGATGTTTTTAATATATGTAAATCTATTATAATAGTCTTTTACGAACATCAAAAATTGGGAAGAAACTTAATACGTACGAACGTATAAATGCATACCTACATTGGTAAAAATCTACTGACAAATATATACGTCTATAATGATATATATGTGAATTGTTGTGTTCACTGCATAAAATAAATAATAGGACAATTCCCATTCTAGGCGTAACCCGAGATAACTAGAACTATATCTCGTACACATATAATTACCATGAAACGATCCCGTCAGTTTATTAACTCTCGTACGTAGAGTTCAACGTTCTACGTTAAAAAAACTCGCTTTTATTATCCTCCTAAATAAATATTGTATATATAAAAAAATTACACATATTGATGTAAAGTTACATTTAATATTGTTATAGTGTTTATTGTTTAATAAAAAAAATAATTAAAACACTTGTTACTGTATAATTATATTTTATACACGCGTGATTCACACGAAAGAGTTCAACGAGCAGACACAAATGTATTTTGCTGAATTAACGTTACTTAACATCATTATCACAATAGGGCAAGGTTTATAATTGATTATTTTTAATGATTTTACAGAAAAGGTAATGGCGTGCTGTAACAAGGAAGTCCTTGAGATTTTTAGTTAATTTTCGCAGTTTTGTAGTATGATTTATAAACTTTGACATTTTCTCTTGGGGGCTTAACATGTTACTTTGTGTGTATAAGGAAGGACAAAGTCCAAGATTGTCTACATTTTTGTGGTACAACATATCAATTTCAGGGTCTTGGGGTTATTGAATTATATCCGTGATAGCAGTTAGGATCAGACTATACCTATATAACATAATAGTATCGGTTATTTCTTTAGGAAATATCTAATGAAATTAAAATTTTAAGCAAGTATTATTAAAAACATAATGAATATTTATGTAGGCTACGATTTTTGTTTAAGGCGATATAGTTAATGGAAAATTTCTTATTGTATTGTTTTTTTTAGTTATAATAATAATAATAATATTAATTGATCTTTAAAAATATATTTTGATCAAATGCTTTGTGCAATGATCGAAACTTATCTGTCCTTTCTAATCTATATATTTTAGATTATTGGATGACGTAAGAAGTAAGACAATACGTTACTTAAAAACTCGAAATAAAACATATGTAAAATCGCTTGACGTACGTGGTAATGTTGGGCCAGTATTGGGAAATTAGTGGATTTCTAGGAATATAATGGTGTTGATGCATATTAATATTAATTATAATCTCTTTTACCGTTATAAAGAAAAACAATTAGGCTTCTATATCGGATACCCAGTTCAGGCACCAGATCTCCACAACTTTGATGTATCTATGGTATTATTTTAAGTGTTCCATTGTACGCAAAAAAGTTGTGAGATAAATAAATAAACATTAATATTATCTATATTTCACTGAGTGAGCCACTGGTAGAAAGGAAATGTATTAGAGTTTGTCTGATAAATAAGGTTTTCTAATGGTGTTTAACATCTGAAAAATATTTAAGAATCAACCAAGATGTAGTTAATGACTCTGATTGTACCTAAAAATTGAGCAACAACTTAAAATGCATCGCCGGGATTGGATGCATGATGATGATGATTTTAATATCTTGAATTAGAATCCAAGACACAAGAACAAAGAGACGACATTTTGTCGTCACGAAGCAATCAAACAATATTTGCAGTTCACTAAACTTAATAATAGGTATTTGACCGATACATCGCTATGGTTCGTCGACCTGAACCAACTAACTTTCTTTCAATTTCAGTCCAGCCGATTAAATAGGTTTAATAAAAAAGACAATTACATTGCATTTTCACTGTTTCTATTGCATTGATAATTAGATAAGTATTATGTTTATTTAAGTTCTATTCTTGAGTTCATTATATTATATTTATTTAATTTAAGGTAAATTTTATTTCAAATAATTTAGTTGATAATGTACATATTATTTATGCAAGTTGATGCCTCACTTGATATAAAATGGTCATGAACAGTATTTACCATCTAGATCATAGACTGTAATGTGACCTTTACATGGTACTTCTCATACTTCGTCATTCCTGAGAAGAAGGTATCCATACCTTGAAAGGTGATATAATATATCTCAGTAACCTATAATTTTTATTATGTTTAAGTTAAATTATTTATTTTCAATACTTACATAAATTTAGATAAAAAAGTTTTAATATTTGAAATTGATTATACTATTCTTTTTCGAAAAAATCTAGATTATCAAAAAAATATATTAGGATACTTCAATTGATATACTATATAATACAGGTGTATACAATATGCGCCATAACATTGATTCAAACTTACATACTTTCTTATAAATTATAACTGGTCAGGTACGATATAAAAATAATCGTGGTATAATCCAAGTACTTAACAATGACTATGATCTGAAAATTCCATTATGTACTAATATCAATACCGTCTATATGAATATATAACTAACCATACAGCTGTGTAATCATACAGTGTAAATATAAATTATATTCTCCATAATCCCTGAAGTTGTTTGTACGTATTTTTCAATGTTTCTATATATAGATTCGCAGTACTCGTAAAATTACAAGTACTTTTATCTTTTGTACAATTTGTTACTATGTAGTTGAACATTCTTCCTTTTCTGTCTCTTTAGACAAGTGGCAAACGAATTACCATTATAGACGTTATTGCCACCAAACGCAAACGAGATAGTCTGCGTCTTGTTATTTCTCAAGTGTGCGATACGAAAATGCATCTATTGAGAGACATGTATACCTAAAAAGGAGAATAAGGGGTGATTTTCAGTTATACAAATTAAATTGCCAGTTTATTGGCAGTACCTGAACAGATTTCGATATATGAGAGATCATTAAAAGATTTATATAATCCCTACATAAAAATAAGTGACATTATTTTTTTTAATAGAATTTTTTTTTAAGGACAGTCGTATTTTTAATACGAGTAGTACATATATGACATTTTAATATAAATCAATATGTATTAAGGCAGGCGATTTAAAAAAATATATAGCAAAGCTACAAGCCGGCAGTAAACATACGAGTAGGGAACTAGTTCCGTTTTACTGTCGAGAGAAAACTGCTTTTCTATCTCGTGATATGCAATACGTGTCCGCGTCAATGCGTACTGTAAAATACAACAAGTTTATTTTTATACAAATTTTGCTGAAGATTTTTGTTGTCTAACTATAATGACCAATACAAACAAACATATTTATGAATGCAATTATTTGTACTGTGTGGGGATTGAATTTGTGATTATCTGAAACGATATCGATGATTTTTGTAATGAAATCACGAGTAGTGGAGTAACAATATGGTGGGAGAGCAGGCAAAATGCCATAAGCCCCTGGCCCGAAGGGGCCCTTGTTTTGAGTAGCCGTGAACACATGAAGAATTAATTATTATATTCTTATTATATGTATTTACACTAGAAGAAAGGGGCGTCCGAAAATAAGATGGATAGACGACATCCGTCAAACCTTAGGGCCTAACTGGAGTAGAGTGGCGGAGGATAGAGTTCAGTGGAGAGAGCTGGAGGAGGCCTATGCCAAGAGGCACACTGAATTGAGAGATATGTCTTACTAGGGTTATAGGTTCGGAGTTCGGTTTTATATTATATTTTATATATATATATATATATATATATATATATATATATATATAATTTATATATATATATATATATAATTTATATATTTATTATATATACGATTTATATAAATAAATTATTAACATTTAAATAAGGTATTTTAAAGTAAAATAGACGCATATTTATTAACTGGTATATTATATGAAAATAAAACTACAACAACGAGCTTTTTTAAATAAAAGGAGGGTCTCATTTGATAAATTTATCACGGGCCTCAGATGGGATAGTTACACAACTGATCACAATGCTGTGCTCC